CACACACACACACACACACACACACACACACACATCTCTGAATGCCATACTAACTACTGTTTTTAAGACAGCAGTGTGTAGAATGTGAATCTTCTGTATGTATTGAACACCCACGATACAAGATAATGTACTATATTTGCCAAATGTGCAACAGATCACACTGCACAGAATCTGTCTCCCACAATGCAATGCACTCAACTTATCAAATTCTATTTACAGCATGACAAAAAAAATGGAATTAGATGTTTGAGCAAATAAGCTCGGACATTTGTATACAAAAATAGATTAAAACATTTGGATATTACCAACATTTTTCCACTGAAACATTATTCTTTAAACTCATTCTTTAGTTATAAGTAATTAATGCCAACATAACTGTTTTATAATTATTAAATAATTATTTAGAAACATATATCCCAAAGCGACTTACAAAACACATTTAACGTCAAGATGTCCTTAAGATTTGTTATATTTTTTATCAAATTTTATTTATTAAATTATATATTTATTTTTATAATTTTATTCATTTTATTTTAAAAAAAGTTTGTTTTATTACCTATTTTTTATTTTATACTTTTCATGATTTTATATTTTTATTTATACTTACTTTTTAAATATAAATGTTATAAAAATGCAATAAAGTGTAAAAAAAAAATCGAATACAATAAATACATTTTTTTTTTTATTTTACAAGTTTAAAAACACAGCATAAAAAATTAGTATTTGTGTTGAATAATAGAGACATCTGAGCCCATGTTTATTTGTGTAGTGCATTTCTCACATACCAGCAGTTTCAGTTTCACTTTAAATAAATTATTTTTGGCTTGGCATTTATGATAAATGTTGCACATAATAAATGATACTATTATTTACGTTTGTTTCACACTTTTTGCAATTTCTACTCTATTTTTCATTCCGAGTACATTAAATGTTAAGGATTTGCTTTCGAGAGTGAGAGGAATTAAACACATTTACTATAATGTGTGCAACCCTTTCATTTATCGGTATTTAAATTATTTCTGAATTGTAATGATAAAATATGTCTTGTACACCAATGCAATTTTTTTAATGCGACTGTTTTTCTCTCCAATAATGCAATTCTGACCCGGTGTGAAAAATGTTACTTATGCACTACTCAGATGATGCTCTTAATTAACAGGAAAAGCGTTTTGAATGATGGACGCTTCTTGCTTCTTTTAGGAACGAGACTGCTAAAACTAAATGTCATTATGGACACAGCTATGATGTCTAACGCGAGACTCACGCAGCAGTCGGTCCAGTAGACGTGCAGGAAGGGGAACGTCAGCAGAGCTTTATTCTCTTCTTTAGGAAGCAGTTCCTCCTTAAACTGGACAAAATTAGCCTCCAGATAGATCATAATCTTTAATGTCATGGTGAAACCACAAGCATACACAGATATATATATAGTGCTCAATTCACACACACACACACACACGCACACACACACACACACACTCAAACACACACACTCACACTCACACTCACACTCACAC